GCATCATAGCAGAGTTTCGAAAGGGGATGGAGACTAATGTGATAGCTTTAAAGCAAAAACCAGCATGGAACTACTAATCCCAGAATCCTCTAGCTAGCATGATGTCAGCTGTGCTGCCTGGGAAGTTCTGGGAGTTGTTGTGCAAAAAGGAACTTTTCTTAAGTGTTGCTGAAAAGCCACCAGAGTCTATTGTTCTTCCTTGGCATCTGCTTCCTGATTTCCCAAGTACATCCTCACAATGTGCACATTGTACAATGGATCAGGATTTTGTGTTGTATGTGATCTCTGCCATCTTAAAAAATGTGTGTATGCATTTTTAAGTGGCATGTGTACATTTATACACCTATGTGAGTCTTCTCTTGTCAGGAGCCATCCAGGTGGTCTGGTCTACAACCCTCCCCTCATCGTTTCTAGTCAGCATGACTGTTGCTGGTTGGGGATGATGGGCACAGAAGTTAAATATACTGTATCTGGAGAACACTAGATTGAGGGGATGACTTATGCTATCAGACTTCACAGAAAAAAGTGAAACAAAATTATAGAATTTTCAAACATTTGGTGATAGCATCATAATCATGTGTTGTTCAGTCAATTCTGACTTTTCAGGGTTTTCTAGATAGAGAATACTCAGAAGTGGCTTATCATTCCCTTCTACTGGGTGCACCCTGGGTCTATGCACTTGGCAAAGGCCACATAGGCTGGGTGTAGTTGAATTTGACCAAACTCTAGGAAGCAGTGGAAGACAGGAGGGCCTGGCATGCTCCAGTCCATGGGGTCATAAAGACTCGGACACGATTTAATGACTAAACAACAAGAAAAGTGTAAAGAGGCATGCTGGGGATTCAAACTCCCAACTTCTGACTCTGCAGTCAGATATCTAAACCCCTGAACTATATAAGACCTAGCTAATCGGTGTCTACTGTACTGTATACAGTTCTCTTATGCTGAGAGCTTGTAGAAATGAGGTGGAACTTTAAGAGGATTCAGTCCAGGAAAGAAAAGTGTATATGCATTTTCTAGGTGTGTTCTGATCACCTTCATCTCACTTAAAATTTGCAGCAATGCAGAAGTAGGTTGCAGCCCATGAAAGCTGACACCAAATAAAACATAAAACAGTCTTTAAGGTGCTGAAAGATGGCTGGTCACATTTAAAATGCAACCACCCTAAAGGGCAAGATGATCACGTGATGTAGAATAACAAATGTCATAGGAACAGGATAGTAGAATCATTTCACCTACATCTCAACAGAATAGGATTAGTCATTGCCATGCTTTTCATTTTCTCTTACAGATAACGTACCTTGTAATCTCTTCAACCTATCTTTTTCCTCAATAAGATTTGCATCATCAACAGCAGGGGCAGCAGGAAGGGTAAATATAATCTGTGAAAATGCTGGTGGGCAACCTCTGTAGATAGGACTGATTTCTTTATTGTGTATAGTGAATTTAAACAGCTGGGTAGATTATTGTCTGTAGACTAGAAAAAGCTAGCTGACTTCCGCCTTCTATAAAGACTTCCTTACTTATATTAAAACAAAGAGTCTCATGCTTATGTAAATAGTCAGATTTATGAAATGCTACTGATATTGGCTGGTACGTCATGGAAAGGACTCGTGATTCTTCTTGCAGGTGCTTTTCAGTGTTCCATGTGCATCTCGTATGGCAAACTTTTAAAATGGGAAAGGGAATTACGCTTCTCCACAAGAATCTAGTCACATATGGCAGGCTGAAATTAGGAAGGTGTGATGTGTTGTGTTCCTTGCCATGCGTCCCTTACTGCATTTTCTCTGGTTCTTCTTTTGTATCACAGTGGGTGTGTTGCAGATGTGTCTTCTAGATGTGTTCAGACTACAACTCCCACCCTTTCCTGCTATGACACACTGGTTGGGATGCTCGGAGATCAAATACATCTGGAGACAGTCAGTTTAGGGGAAGGCTGTATTAATGGAAGGGTCAACTTGTATTCAGTTGCCCTGTGCTTAACTACAGTGAATTATCTTCCAGAGTTGAAAGTGAAATGAGACTCCTGTTTACATATGCCATCAAGTCAGTTGTAACTTAATAATGCCCCTGTGGATTAATGAGCCACAAAAGGCCTATCATCAATAACCCTGCTCAAGTCTTGCAAACTAAACATGCCATCAAGTCAGTTGTAACTTAATAGTGCCCCTGTGGATTAATGAGCTACAAAAATCCTATCATCAATAACCCTGATCAAGTCTTGCAAACTAAAGACTGTGACTTCCTTTATTGAGTTAATCCATCTCATATTTGATTTCCCTCTTTTCCTACTGCCTTCATTTTTTCCCTAGCATTATTTTTCCCCAGTGAGTCTTGTCTGCTTTCTTCTTCCAAAGTAGGATACCCTCAGTTTAGGCATTTTAACTTCTGCAGCCTAGGCTTGTTTTGATAGAAAAGCCACCTACATGTCTTTCTGGTGGTCTACAGTGTCTTTAAACTCTTCTAACCCCACATTTCAAATAAACTGGGATTTTTCCCTGATTGCTTCCTTAATTTTCAAACATTCACATCCACATATAGCAATTGGGAATACCACAGGAAAAATAATCTTTCCCTTATTTTCCAGCATCCTATCCTTACACACTTCAAGATCATTTCTAATTCTTTAATATTAGCCCTTCCAAGTCTCAGTGTTCTTTTGATTTCTTGGCTACAGTTTCCTTCTGGGTTGATGACTGAACATTTTAATATTAAGTGAAAAACAGCGTTTAAGGACCCTTTGGCGCAGTGGTTAAACCCTGCTCACATGACCTGAATTTGATCCCATCCTTAGATAGTTGGCTTAAGGTTGACTCAGTCTTCCACCCTTCTGGGTTCTATAAACTGAGTAACCAGCTTGCTGGGAGGGCAATGTGTAGCCTGTATAATTAAATTGTAAATGTCCACAGAGAGCATTAAGCACTATGTGGTAGTATATAAGCAGCAGCACATTTTGCATTAGAAGTGATGGAGAAACACTTTGTGGTGGTCCATCCCGATCCATGATGAACACGTCCTGAACTTACAAAGCACCTGTACCCATATATATTTGCTTAGAAATGATGGAGAAACACTTCTTGTGGTGGTCCATCCCCATCCATGATGAACATGTCCTGAACTTACGTATATTACAAAGCACCTGTACCCATATATATTTGTTGCATTTATTACTGAGCCTCCTTCCAAAGAGTTTAGGCATCAACCATTATTCTATGTGCCCTTCCTTCCAGCCTGAACTTAGCTTCACAATAATCTTGTTTATGTATTTATTTGTTCACAACAGCAAATTGCTGCTCTGCACTATATAGTTCATTTTTAATCGCCCCATTATAGGGTTTTCAAGATACAGTATAAAATATGGAGAGTAAATGCCTTCTTCTTAGTAGTGCTAAAGAGTCTTTGCCTGAGTAAACTCCCAAGCACCTCCACTGCTTCTGCTTTTGCCAGATAGCTGCTCTTCTTAAGTTTTTCTGCCTTCATCACAATTGAAACCACAAATTCTGCTGATGTGACAGTTTATTCCGGAGAAGGAATCAGGGCTCAGCTTTGTAACAGAATCGAGCCTCCTGATGACATTGCTCAGTCCTTTCTCAGGTTGTCAGATCCGCTCACCATGTTAAGGGGTACATCCAAGAGGCAGAAACTTGATGGCACAGAATGACAACATATATATATGGTACAGAATGACAACATAGATATATCTATGAAATAGGTTACACTTAGAGATCATGACTGGCTAGTGGCCTTCACATAAGTTTCATGGTTCAGTAGTGGTATGAACCAAGCTTTCCCCAAATCTAATCCAACATATTATCTTTCTTTCTCACGCAGCTTCACTTGGCTCTTTGCTTATGGAAATTGTAGCTTGATACATCTAGAGGGTGCCAGATTGAGGAAGCTGGTCTAACTCCTGATATAATCTACTGAAATTTTGCTATCTGCCTTCTCACCTTGTGAAGTTCAGTAGGTGGACCCATAGCACCTTTACTATAATGGTGGCAAGACAAGAGAAGGTTCTGTCTGAAAAATGTCATTCAAAACATTTAGAGGGCCAAAGGATGAGAAATATTGCTCTAGGTTCCAGTTTAGTGGTTCTCAATCTTGGGTCTTTAGATGTTTGTGGACTACAACTTCCAGAACCCTTCACCACTAGGTGTGCTGGCTAGGATTTCTGGGAGTTGTAGTCCAAGAACATCTGGGGACCCAAGGTTGAGAACCACTACTCTAGACTATATGCCTGGGTCCCAGATGTTTTAACCACAGTAGCTATAAAATGAAATGAAAGAAGCTTGGAGTGGACATGAGTTGAATTTTATGTGGAAGGATTTGTAGGTGTTTTGAGCTCTGATCCTCAAAATAAATTCCTGGATCCAGAATTCTTTTAAATTTAAAATGTATGGAAATTATTTGGCAGAACTGAAACAAGTTGCTTTTTTTGAAAAAAACTACAATGCCTAGGATCCCCCAGTCTTCACCAGCCTTGAAAGTTGCACAATTAAGAATTGCAGTTGAGGAGTGACCTTTCCAACACTGGTCTTTATGTGGATTTCAGGATCCTAATGATCCTAGCGTGCTCTGGTCCATGGGGTCACGAAGAGTCAGTCACGACTAAAAAACAACATTGAAAAAAAATGAAAGTTGATCCCACAAGGCTCCTGCACAACACATCTGCACTTCTTTCCTTCCCTCTGCCTTCTTGATGCCAAGCCCCAGTGATTTCACTTGAGACCTTGCCTGACGCCACCCCTCACCTATTGCAGCCAGAATTAGGCAAGCCCACAGGCAGGCTTTCGCCCCCTAGGCTGTGACACGTGTCAAACGAGCGTCGCCCTCCCGTGTCCCAAGAGCAGAGAGTCCTGGCAGCGTGTGGGGTTGGCTAGGCTCCAACTAAGCGGGCGCTCTTAGCTGAGAAGGGTTAGCTTCACCTCCTCCACCAGCTCTGCCATTCCCAGCAAATGAGCTCTTAGACCAACCCTTCCTAAGGACGGGGGGGGGGCTTCCTCCTGACGCCGTTTCCGGAGGGGAGGGGAGAGGATATATAAATGAGGTGACTGCAGCTGCAGTGCCCTGTCGGGGATCATCCGCTGAAGCATTAGAAGAGCAAGAGGATCTCGGGAGAAGGGCAGGGACGGGCGGATTAAGCTCCCTCCCGGCTCAGCTTTCGCTCTCGTCCAATGTCAGTCGCCCATCGTCACTCACCAGCCGAGACCCACCGTCTACCTCCGAAGCCCAGCCTTCAGCTATAAAGCCAATAAACCTCCTCCCGCACCTCCTCGCTGCCCTCCTTTCAGCCTACCGTCTGTTTTTGGAGTCCAGCAACATGACCCTCGCGGCAGTTTTGGCCGCCTTCTTACTCGCAGCACAAGGTAAGCCAGAGAGGGAGGGAGGGAGAGAGAGAGGGAGGGGAGGCCCCAGGTTTTTGCCTGCAGTTGCTCAGGCAAACGGTATCTTGTCCGGAACCGCTCTCCGCATTGACTGTCCTTTTCAGCACCAAGGACAGAGCCGCAGGCTTCCGCGGGGCGGTTGGCCCACATAGTGAAAGCCTGGGATGGAACGTGGGGTTGCGGGTGGGCAAAATTGATCTGGGCGGAGGGAAGGAGGGAGAGACGAGTCTCTTGTTTATGCTGAAAGGTGTGGGTTGGATTTGAGTGCATTCCTCTGTGTGTGCGTGTGAACCCTTCAGTGGGGTATAGTCAAGAGTTTTAAGCAATCTCCCGAAACACGCAAGGTCATTTTACCCCAGCAAACTTTACAAAGCCCGTTGCCGAATGCTCTTTTCTGCAACACAGCCCACATCTCTCCTGCAATTTGTGTTTTGAACCACAAAGTCATCACTCTTCTTTACCTCCCCACCCACCTCTTCTCTTTCCCCTTCCCCTTCTCTATCAGCTTGTTTGAAATCCATATATGGTGCAATCATGAGCAGTCAATCAATGTGCCAACCAGGTTACTCAGTCTCTGGATGCTGGAAAAGATTCTGCAACCTACTTCTGAATGGTGGATGGCAGTTCCTTTTCCGCATTTACAAAACTGTTTCCACAATCTGCTAAGTTTCACTGAAGATATCTGCTTCCGTTACTGTAGACAGGAATCCAATTCTTCTATCCTGTTTCTGAACTTGAGAAAATGAGCAAATGGATAATGGCATGACCTGCTTTTAATGGCTCATTATTCCAATTGTGTATATGCCAGATCATCTAACTTGTACTGGCTGAATTTTGCATGGTTTGTGCCAGCTAGAGAAGACTGTTCCAAAAAAATATGCAATAATATTAAATCTCTCTCTCTCTCTCTCTCTCTCTCTCTCTCTCTCTCTCTCTCTCTCTCAGTAATTTCACTTCCAGTAACAAATCCAACAACTCAAGATGACACTAAGGTGAGTTGCCAAGTCAATGTTGTTTTACTAGTCATTAAACAAATCCTTGGGAGCATGTTCTAGCCTATCTATCTGAAAGATTCCTTGATACAATGCTTTTAAAAAGAGGTACACTCAGGATTTGAGGATGTTTTTTAGTGTTCGCCTAAACTACTGTTCATCAGGGGAAAACAATGGTTAAATGACACACATGCACTCATTAAAGAAGCATGTTTTTTCTGCACATCTACTGTAGGGGAAACCCAAGTTTGTTGATATGTAATGTGCAAAACAGATTTTTTCCCCCTGCAATGTTTTCTGCTTGTTGTGTGATAACTCTCTGCAATGAGGACCTGTATTTGGTTTCATAAGTTTTCAATAGAAGCTTTAAATGTTGGTCTCAAGTAACTGAAAGAGTGCAGTAGAGTTCCAGTTATATTCTTGATAAGCCCATTTTGAGCTAAACCTAACCCCCCCCCCACTCCACACCCCGCTGTTAAAGTGCATAAGGGTTACTGGAAACAAAACTGAATATTGACATTAGGACTGAGGCGCTGCCTGAAATGAAGCAAAATAAAAGTAAACACACTTGCTGAAAGAACAGACACTGTGCAAATGTATTATTATTTCGGGTAAGTGTGTATTCCATGGAAACCATGATCCTGTGGTAAGATTGTTTAAAAACTTACAGTAAATTAAATTCACATTTGAAATAGGTGTCAGTGAGGATTTCATTTCACTTTGTTTTCTATGAGAATTTATCAATTTAAAAAATTCTTTATATTTTTATGAAAATAGTGTATGTGTATGAGAGAGAGAGAGGAATGGAGGAACCACCTTAATGACAAATTTCTCCACCCAGATCCTTATGCGTTCAACATACTGATGCTGACTTAGAACTGCCATGTCTTTTTTCTAAAAGATTCCTCACCTTTAACAGATTTATGGGAGGCAAATACCATATGGCTGTCTGTTCTGAGAGAATTTTAATTTCATTTCAACTTTGCCATAATCCACAAATATCTTAGTTTTCACAATAGAAATAACAAGATTTTGGGAAATTAAGGTGCAGAAAGTAATAAAACATAGATTCTTCCATCCTTAATTTGAAGAAGTGGTTGGATATAGGGATGTCTGCAGCTGAGACAGAAAAAGAAATGAAAAGAGAAGAGTAAGATGGCCAAAACTTTAGCCAGCACTGTGCAGCAACAGAACTATAGGAAAATAGGGCTACTGGAAATTATTTGTACAGTACTTCTATTTGTCAATCCAGAGTACAGACTCACTTTCTTCTCTCTGTACATTTCTCACTAGTTTTATGTTTCTCTGGGAGGAATATATGTTACACTGAATCAATGTATTGCTTTACTCACTATACCTATCACCTGGATCTATTTACTGTTGCTGTATATAGTGCAGCTGCCATCTGCTTGTATCCCGTTGTGATATAGTTTGCATAGAAACATACAATGTGGGTTGGGGGAGGTGGAATGCCCAGATATCCTTTGGAGTTTGGGGATGAACTGGGCGTTCCTTTCACACTTTTGAAGTCCTTAAAGACATAGTCCCATGCATGTGTCTATTGCAAGCGCACAAGTAGAATCAAGAGAGTTATGGAGTAATATACTTTCACACCCATATTGCAAGACTGATGTGAATGTATATCTCCATCCACACGGCGCAATGTAGATGGAGAGAGCACCAATCATTTTCCATGAAGATGCGCATTTCATGATCAATCTGTATGCAAATATCCATCCAAATTCAGGATTCCAATCCAGTAAGGGAATCCATACATGAAAGACTGTTTTAGGTATCCTGTGCTGGATTATAGTGTTTATTTAGTATAGCCTTGCACGTAAATACAACGAACTGCCAACATCCCATCCTACAATGTACATTGCTGTTGGTGCAGGTGTTTTTTTGTTTGTTTCTGTTCCTTGGTACCTGCTGCTTTCTGTGAAGGTGGAAACTTTCTTTTGGAGATTTGTCATGCTATGCTTAACGTAGCTATATTTTAAAATCTGCCACTATTTCAATTTACCAAAATAGGTTCCCTTATTTATTCATTCATTCATTCATTCATTCATTCATTCATTCATTCATTCATTCATTCATTCATTCATTCATTCATTCATTCATTCATTCATTCATTCATTCATTCATTCATTCATTCATTCATTCATTCATTCATTCATTTATTTATTTATTTATTTATTTGATTTATACTCCGCCTATCTGGACCACCGGACCACTCTAGGTGGCTCTTAGTCACTTTTAAGATTTTTGTGGATTCTGAAAAGCTTTTGCTAGTGTTCCCTGCTAGGTACCTTAATGAAAATAAAATAAAATAAAATACCACAATATAAAATCAAACAAAAATAATAATTAATTCCAGAAATACACAGCCCTCTCCATGTGAGCCTGAGACCTGGAGGGTAATTTAATATGGCACTCCAAGCAGGCTCAGCAGCCATCTGCAGCGTCTGAAAGTCTTGGGACATTTACTGTGGTTTTGGTTTTGGTGATGAGCCACACACTGGGTCAGATCATTGTAACTGGGTAGGATTTTCCAGCATAAGTGTAGATCTCTATTTCTGAAGGCACTACAGCTTGCTTTGAGACAACTGCAATAAGCCCACAAACTCCTTTTTTCTACCACATCCATCCAGATACAGTTCAGCATAGAGCTATATGAATTGATGCTGCAGATTCTTCCTTAACTTTGCCCTCTGTAGTACAACATACTAAATCCATTGTCTGTGGCTTAAATCCAGAGTCTAGCACAGCAAAACCCGATGGAAGTCCTTAATATCCCAGTGAATTACCATGTGTTTTCCCTGAAAATTAGACAGGGTCTTTTTTATGTTTGTTTGTTTGTTTGTTTGTTTGTTTGTTTGTTTGTTTGTTTATCCTGCCCTTCTAGACATATGTCTACTCCAAAAAAATGCACTAGGGGAAAAGCGGAGTTTTAATTTTGATATTGCAATATGAATACAGTAGCCTGGACGTATATTTTTATTTCTCCTTCCCTCCTATTTTCCCCTTACACCCCCCCCCTTTTACCTGCTGTATTCCATACCCTAAACCAATGTATTTTTTTAAAAAAACACTAGAGGTTATTTTCAGGGGATGATTTATTTTTTCATGTACAACAATCTACATTTATTCAAATACAGTCATGTCATCTTCTTCTGGTTGCTGCACAAGGGTGGAGGGCGGGGTTTCACTTAACTTATTTTGGGTAGGGCTTATATTACGAGCATCCTGAAAAATCATAGTAGGGCTTATTTTCAGGTTAGGTCTTATTTTCGGGGAAGAAGGGGATCTAAAATGGAGTGGGAATCTTGCATCTTTCCAGATACTGTTTTACTGCAACTCCTGCTGGCTGGGGCTGATAGGACTTTGAATCCAGTTACCTCTGGAAGGCCATCAGTTTTCCACCTCAGTCTTGAGCAATGTTTGAAAAAGTTACCTTTTTCTGATTACAGCTGTTAGAATTCCGCACCTAGCACAGCCAGAGGTGAGGGATTCCAAAAGGTGAAGTCCGAAAGAGTTAATTTCCCAAGGTGTGATTTAATAGAAAAGACTATTATTTGATTTCTTTAAAAGTCTGAACGTTGAGGAGGTTTTATAAAGGAAGCCGTGTACTAAAGCTATCTGATGATCCAGTCAGAATTGTTCCCAATGCTAGTTACCCATGCTGATGTGAATGTGTGAAGTGAGTGTGCGTTGGAATGTGGGGTTTATGGAAATAACTCCAAGATCCATGGAGGAAAAGCAATATATACAGATACTAAATAAGTAAAGGTTAGTTAGAAGATTCCTGATTCCCCAGTGTCAATTGAGAATGGTAGTGACCTACCACCTAAAAAGGTTGGTGGAGTCAAGTTATGAAGGCAGGAACTCCAGACATTCTTACCTGGGAATAACTTTGTAGAACTTACTTCAGAGTAGACATGATCAGAATTCTACTGGAAAATTTCATTCATTCATTTAAAATGTTTAAACTCTGTCTTTCACTTGCAAAGGAGAGGTACTCTACACACCAAAATTATTGTAAAAAGGGCAGAGAAATATTAATTCTTAGGATTATGGTTCCCAAAATCCCTGGACTGAAAATTGTAGACCAAAGAAGCAATTTTTCCAAGCTCTGGGTATAAATTAACTACAAATGACACTGCTGTTCACTAAGCACATATGGAATAGCCAATTTCCCTGCATGGAACACTAGACCATCATACGAACGCGGGCTCCTGTCACAGCCTCTCTTGCTGATTTTGATCATCCAGCGTTGCTGACAATACGAGAACACAAGTGCTGTGAATTAGGAAGTCACCCTTCTTCCGTAGCATAAAACTGCCAGCACATCTCTATTGATTTTTCACTGGGCACCCATCATACCATTCACCAAACCGCCGTGCTGGGCATACTGCAAAGTAACACGGAGCAGATGCTTTGGGCAGCAAATTCCAGAGGAAAGTACCATTAATCTTACTCCAGTGTTAATTTCTGTATGTCCTTTAAAAAATGAGCTGCACCTTCAGTCTATAAAAAAAGTACCTAAAGTTAGCCCTGGCAATATTCAGCATAGAAAGTATTTTCCCCTATACAAACTTTTCTCCTGAGTAAGCTAATGAATACATTTTTGAAGGTCTTGATTTGTGGGTTTGAATTCCTGAAGGGCCTGGATGCTTTTGGAACATGTTGGGACTTTTTCTCTATTTGTGACAAATTTAGGAGAATGTCTCTTATTAGAAAATCACTACAGGAGGGTGGGGAATTCTGCTTGATCACTTTCTGATTGCTTTCATTCATTTTTCTGCAAATGCACAGTGTTCTCTTTTCCTATCTGTTCTAAAACTAATCCAAACTTTTGTGAGCCATGACAAAGGCCTCCTTGGCTCCCTTAATGGGGACTATCAATTAATAGATAAGAAGAAATCCAGCTTAGCCTTCTGTCCAGAAAGGATGACTTGAAGACTAGGAAACTTTATGCCCAGATGTGTGTAGGTGAACTG